CCAGGTGAGCCCTGGCCCCGTTCAGTGCCGCATCCCAACTTATGCCTGCCCCCAGCTCCGCCACCACCTTCTCTTGCGTTGCCCTGATTGGTTCTCGTGGGTCCCCTTCCATGTCGACGTGCTCCACCACATAGCAGCATCTCGATCCCCCTTCTTGGATCCACTTCAGCACTTATAGGAGTTCATCTAATAACGCCGTGCGAGCATCTCCCATTCCTCTCCCTTTTCCGGCTCTTGAGGTGCCTTGGCACTCCCAGCCCGCCACTACCAGGTCCACTTGACCCCATCCCCATACGGTTGCTTCGTTCAGCTGTCTCACATCCCACGCTCCTTCCTTTTTTGCCTCCTCAATCACGGTCCTACTTATTTGCCCCGGGTATCTCATCAGCAATTGGTCTGCATGATGCTAGGCCATGCGTCTGGCCTTTGGGTCTATCTCCACTAGTATCCACTTGTGCACGACCAATCTGGCCTCTAGCGCCGCAGCCAACCCTGCTCCTATTCCTCCAAAGAGCTCTACTATCGTGATCGGCTTTTCCCCCAGCGTTGCTCCCTTCAGCTGCCTGAGTGATTCCATCCTGTCTCTCTCTGCCGCTTTCTTGCCCCCTGCCAATTTCTGCTCCTTTGCCTTTTGCAGTGACTCCGTGGCCCTCAGGGCATTCTTCGGCTCCATCTTCACAAACCGCACCGGCAACTCTCCTTGTTCTCCGCCTTCCTTCCAATATTCGGTCCTGAAGCTCAGCTTCTCTCCCCATGCATCAATTTGTGCCCCTATCTTGTAAATCAGCTCCATCCCCACCAGCAGGTCGTAGTCTTCGGACTCGGACAGCCCGCACTGCACTCGAATCCGTGTCTCCCCTTTCTGTCCCGGCAGCAGCGCCACCTCCACCGGCTCCTTCGTGCTTGGCATCCACTTTGGTGGCCCGCCCTCCGCCGTCATGATGAGCATTCCTTTGCTCACCGTCTCCAGCTTCCCTGGCTTCTGCAAGCACGCCGCCAGTTTCCTCCCCATCAATACACTCTGCGCTCCTGTATCAATGATAGCATTCTCCACCTTCACTCCTTGTAGGGCTATGGAGCCTGCTTCCGCCAGTAAAGCGGTCGTGTGGCACACCAGCCTGTCTTCCGGATGATGCTTGGCCCGCTCCCTTACTTCTTCCTCTTCCTTTCCTATCTTCCTGCTGCGTGTCTCTGCCTTATGCTCTTTCCTCCCATCCACCCCACCACTCCGCAGTCCCAGATCTTCTCTTTCTCGGGGTAGTGTCGCCACCAGCGCGTACTCAGACTCCTTATCTTCGTCCTCATCTCCATGTTCGTCCTCCCACGCCATCATCGCTTTTTCCGGATCTTCGCTGATTTCCGTTTTTCCCAGTTGCGCTCTCGGCTTCTTCACCTCCTGCTCCAGCTCTTGTTCTCTCGACGATTTCCCCCGTTGTCCTCCTCTCTTGTAGCACTGGGTGCTAAGATGTCCCTTCTTTCCACATTCGCTGCAGGTGGGAGCTCTGGGGCAGTTCCTCCTGAAGTGGCCCATCTGCCCGCAGTGGTCACATGTGATACCCATCACGCAGTCCTTGCGCAGGTGGCCCACCTCTCCACACTTGTGACAGCGCCGATCGTCTCTCGGCCGCTCCCTCCTTTCTTCTTCCGGCCGCCGGACTTCTGTTGCTGACCACACCGGTCTTCTCTTCTCTATGGGCCTTCGAGCTCCCCTCATCATGTCCGCATAGCGTCTCCCCTCCTCAGCTTCTTTGGCGATCTGATATACCTTGGCCCGAATAGGATACAGCGCGCTCCTCATCTCGTTAACTAAATCTTCTTCTAATTCTCCTAAGAATTTCATAACCATAAGACGGTCCTCCAGGCAGTTAAGATCCCCAGATAGCTCTACTAAACGGTTATAATATGCCAACAATGATTCGCCCCTCCCTCTGCAGAACTCACTGAATTCAGCTACACGATCGGCCGTGTCACTAGGAAACTGCTCTTTCAGAATCTCGTAGAACCGATCTACGATCTTACGAGGCGGAAGTTCTCCCTGCTCATACTCTCGCAGCAGCCTTGCCCTCTCTACTCGATAGTGTGTCTAAGCCTCTCCTCGGAGTGTCTTTCCTAGTCCTCTAAAGAATTCTATTGGATCTAGCCCCTCTCGATCCCAGCAATAACGGATATCGTCTATCATCATGATGTAATTCTTCAACGATGGTTCTTCCCCCGGCACGCCTGAAAATCGCTCGGGCACTTCTATCTACTGTACACTCGCGACTGTCGACCGTCTGGTTTCCCACGAATTCGCCCTTCCTCCTTCTCCTACTGAGTAACCTCCCGCCGCTCGATCTTCTAGGGATCTACTCCCGCGCTCTCTCGGCTGCTCTTTCTGGCATCTCTCTTCCTCTTTTTCCATCTCTGCTCGCTCCTACGATCTCTCCACGCGCCCTGGTGTTCCTCCGCGCGAGCTCATACCCAAACCTCCACGAATCCGCGGATCTGGCGATCCGACGTCCTCTCCGCCTCTTTCGCTAGCAGCCGCTGAAGCCTCCGCTTCACGTCTCTCGGGCTCATGGGGCCCTGCGCGATACACCGGACGCAGCCAGGCTGCACCTCCTCCTGCACGTTCCTCGATGGGTATCTGATTCCCGATCTGAGGCGATGTTCCTCATGACTCGTCTCTCGACTCATCACTGCTAGCGATCCGACCCTCCTCTGCCCACAGCTTGTCTTCGTCGCTCCGCTAGTGAACCACTATCCTCAGCGGTCGCTCGGTCGCTTTTCGCTTGTATGTTACACGCCGCACGCCGCCTGTTCGGATCTACTTAAGATCGGATTCCCGCACTGCTAGACTCAAGTAGGATTAGAGCAAATTGCAGTATAGAAGGAAAACATACAAGCGAAAAGCAATGGTCCTACTGAGTTGCCTCCTATTTATACATCCACCTCTCCCTCCATCCTCTTCCTCCTCCTTGTTATCCTTTTGAGAACTGAGATTGCCCTTGGCCCAGCTTCTCGTCAGACTAGCCCATTGCTGACGCACTTCACCCTGTTCCTGCTCGCGCCTCGACACTCCGACATTCCAATTCCACATCCCTCGATTCGCCCATTCTCAAACTACAGTATTTCTACTGTACCTCCCTTTTGTCCAGCCTATGCCTTCTTGTATAACCAATCTTCCAATTCTTCTCTTTCTTCCACTCACCACTTCCTTTGCTGCTGTGTTAACCGAGGGAAGGCTACTGTCTTTCCGCGGGTAACGCGACAATTCGCCCAAATCTCGCATACCCTCTCAGCATCCTGGCCCGCCTTGTTGCCACAGGCAGACACCGACCACAGCACTTGTCGGCCGCCAAGAGGGTTTTGCGTTATCTTGCAAGTACATCAGGCATGGGGCTAGTGCTGGGAGGACGCAGGCCAATGGTCCTTACAGAGCACACAGACGCTTCTTAGGCAGACGACGTTGAGACCCTCCGGTCCTCCCAGGGCTACTGCTTCAGCCTTGGTTCTGGTGCCATCTTGCGGAGGTCCACTCGCTCCTCGTCTGTTACTCAGTCTAGCTGCGAGGCTGAGATCTACGCCGGTGCCATGGCGGCACAGGGGCTCCGCTGGCTGACCTTCTTGCTTGCCGACTTAGGTGAGCGGCCTAGCTCTGCCTTGGTTCTGTACGCTGACAACAGGGCCATGATCCTCCTATGTCAGGAGCCTCGACTTGAGGGCAGAGCGAAGCACATCCAGCTGCGGTACTTCCTCCTGCGTGAGCTTCAGCAGCGTCGCCAGGCCCACGTAGTACACTTGGCCTCGAGTGCCAGCACAGCTGATATCTTTACTAAGGCGCTTCCGCCTATAGATTATCAGCGGCACTGCTTGCAGTTAGATCTAGTCCCTGTTGACTCTCACTTGCTAGGCCCTTGATTGTGTACTCCTTTTTATTTATGCCTTGCAGACCGGCCTTGTGGCTTGTCCTCCAGTGGTTGGACCATTAGTGCCGCCCTTGTTTGCCCTGTCTTGCTTGTACTCTTGCTGGCTGGTCTTCGGGCCCCTGCCTCAGAGGTTGGACTAGTAGTGCCTCCCTGAGCTGCGTGTTTCTTGCTCAGCAGTATTCAATCATTTTTCTAGTTGACACGCTCTACGGTAGGCTAGGGCGGAAGCGCAGATGGGTGGGACCTACATAGCGTGATATCATCTCATGGTAGCTAAGTAACTGGAACAAGGCAGTACATGAGAGATATAGGGTTGGTGTTGTATCCTCTAAGAACACAACCCTATCAAGCTTATTACTTCTACATACAATTCAATGCGTATATATAAGTTGATGCACACATCAGGCAGTATGCAGCGGTGTTATGAAAATGTTTGATGCTTTTGATCACATCATATCAGTATGCCTAGTCGAATCTCACCGCTTATAATGTTTAAGAAATGGAAATACGGGAGTTGTTGTCAACAGTTTCTTGGAAGCATCATATTACCCTAGTATTTTCTGGGTAACATTGTCTAATCAAATATCTATTTGGTTGTTGCTCTTGATGTTTGTCAACATGGTTCTTCCGGAAGTATACATACAACTGCATGCTATCTAGAGATTTCAATCTCGCTAGTGGATGCATCGTGGGGTTGGGTCAACCAACCATCACCCAGAAATCTTGATCCCTCCAGAGCAACCACGATGGAGTTTCCTGCTGGCCAGCGTAAGTCCCAGGGCGGGCAGCGACAGGCGACAGAGCACACTTCACGGACCCTTCTGTCCACGCACACGTCACCCAGGTTGACAGTGCAGGATGGTGTGCTGACTGGGAATGCTCCCCAGGTTTGACCCACGCTGGGGCAATCCACACAGGAAATGACGAGCTCTGACGTGGACCTTGGGCTTGCTTCTCAACAATGTGGTCCCGCAAAAGAGCCGACTCGGCCTTGCGATGCGTCGCCTCCCTCCATCCGCTCCATCTGCCTTCCCCCCAAACCAGCAGGGTAAAAGCTCGAGAATCTGGTCTTCTTTTCACATCGAGTTTGGTTTGAACCTTCGATAGCTCTGACTCGGCTATTTCTACCAGCTCGATTTTCTCCTGACCTCGGCTGCCGCCACGAGCAAACTTCCGTCTCACGTCTTCGTCTAGATTCTGATCAGCAGAACCGGCTGCCATGGCAGGAACCTTTTCCTTCGGCGCACTCAAGGGCGCGAGCCCAGCGGAAGTACATCAGGTACTTCGAGAACCACCAATTAGTGCTACGAACGAAGATCATGTTATCACTTTTGGGGTTTGGATTTATAGCAAGTGTGACATCAGTTTTTTAACCTGCTAATTTCCCGTCTCGAATGCAGTTCGTGGAGGAGGAGCAGCGCCGATTCGATGCGGAGGTCGCGGAGGTCGAGGCGTGGTGGGCGTCTGGTCGGTTTTCTCTCACCAACCGGCCGTACACCGCCAGGGACGTCGTTCGCCTCCGGGACAGCCTCCCCAAGATGTACCCGTCCGGCGTGCAAGCTAAGAAGGTATGTTCGAAATTCGACAAATTCTTTGACGTGAGGCTTGGCAGCCAACAATTTTATGCAAAATCCGGCTCGATTGAACCGTTTTATGGATACTCACTTTAGTATCTGTTTAGGCTCATCTGTTTTTGTTCTCGCTCTGCCCTACCATGTATTCCTCGCTCATTTGCTGTTTCCCCCTTCCCCTGCCGCGTCCTCCCTATTTCCAGCTGTACGCGACTCTAAAGAGGCACCAGGCCAACGGCACGTGCTCGCGCACGTTCGGATCGCTGGATCCGGTGCAGGTGACGCAGATGGCCAAATACCTGGACTCGATCTACGTGTCGGGGTGGCAGTGCGCGTCGACGGCGGCGTCGTCGAACGAGCCTGGGCCGGACCTGGCGGACTACCCGTACGACACGGTGCCCAACAAGGTGGAGCACCTCTTCCTCGCGCAGTCGTTCCACGACCGCAAGCAGCGCGAGGCTCGATTCAACATGACCAAGGAGGAGCGCGCGCGCTCGCCGTTCGTCGACTACCTGGCGCCCATCATCGCGGACGCCGACACGGGGTTCGGCGGCATCAGCGCGACGGTGAAGCTGGTGAAGATGTTTGTGGAGCGCGGCGCGGCGGGCATCCACATGGAGGACCAGGCGTCGGTGACGAAGAAGTGCGGGCACATGGCGGGCAAGGTGCTCGTGTCCACGCAGGAGCACATCAACCGCCTGGTGGCGGCGCGCCTGCAGATGGACATCATGGGCACGGAGACGGTGCTGGTGGCGCGCACGGACGCGGAGGCGGCGACGCTCATCATGACCAACGTGGACAAGCGCGACCACGCCTTCATTCTCGGCGCCACCAACCCGCGCCTGCGCGACCAGCCGCTCGTGCAGGTGATGGCGGACGCGCAGGCGGCGGGAAAGACGGGGCAGCAGCTGCAGGCCATCGAGGACCAGTGGACGGCGGCGGCGGGGCTGCGCCTCTTCGCGGACGCCGTCGCCGACGCCATCCGCGCGCTGCCGCTGGCGGAGGGCGAGCGCGCGCGGCGCCTGGAGCAGTGGTCTGCGCAGGCGGGCGCGGTGTCGAACGCGGAGGGGCGCGCGCTGGCGGCGAAGCTGGGCGTGACGGAGCTGTTCTGGGACTGGGACCTGCCGCGCACGCGCGAGGGCTACTACCGCTTCCAGGGCAGCACCAAGGCGTGCGTGGCGCGCGGCATCGCGTTCGCGCCGCACGCGGACCTGGTGTGGATGGAGACGGCGAAGCCGACCATCAGCCAGGCGCGCGAGTTCGCGGAGGGCGTGAAGGCGGCGCACCCGCAGCTGATGCTGGCGTACAACCTGTCGCCGTCGTTCAACTGGGACGCGTCCGGCATGAGCGACGCGCAGATGGCGGAGTTCATCCCTGCGCTCGCGCGCATGGGCTTCTGCTGGCAGTTCATCACGCTCGCCGGCTTCCACGCCAACGCGCTCGTCACCGACACGTTCGCGCGCGACTACGCGGCGCGCGGCATGCTGGCGTACGTGCAGGACATCCAGCGCCAGGAGCGCGCGTTCGGCGTGGAGACGCTGGCGCACCAGAAGTGGTCCGGCGCCAGCTACTACGACTCGCTCATGAAGACCGTCACGGGCGGCGTCTCCTCCACCGCCGCCATGGGCCACGGTGAGTCACAGGGCTCGGGAAGGGGGTGGGGGGGGTCACCAGGGGCGGGTCATGGTAAAATCGTTTGTGATTGCTTCACAGGAGATGCATTGTTTATGGGAAAGGAATCCAAGCGAATCAAGGAGATGCACAAAACTTACTATTGGAAATAGCCATTTATCTCGCTCCCCCTTGGTCGATTGATTGGTTTTTGTTCTCACTCTGCTTCTGCTGTCTTCTCTCCATGCTTGTCTCGTTTCTGAAATGCAGGTGTGACTGAGGATCAGTTCGGCTCAGCAGCAGCCGCCGCCTCTGGCGCGTCGCATCTGCTCGCTTCTCTGTGATTCTCAAGTTATGATGATCCGCCTTGGTACGATGCCACATGTGCATCGCTTGTAAGCCCGTCGGTCTTCTGGGCATGCAGCCAAAGAGCGAAATGGGCTAGCAACAGGCAGTGGCTTTTCCACTGGTTGATCAGAGGCTTCTTCCTTTGGGAGTTGCCCTGATTGATTGGTGCTTGGCACAGCTTGGCACGTCTTCATATGTAAAGGACAGAAGAGCAGAGCAGTCACCGTAGTTTGTGTTTCCATAGCGCGAGCTTTCCTATTCTTTACTGTATTTTGTACGACATTCGCTATTTTTAATGATACATTTTTGCTCCAGATGGTCAGATGCAGACTCTGCCTTCCCTCTCTTCTCTCGGCTCCCCCTCTCTGAACCTTCGAGTTATCTTCGATATTGTAAGTGTGTGTGGGCCGGCTTCTGCTGCCACAACCTGTCAGACGGTTCTGAAGGACATGTACTGTGGGCTGTTGTCATAGCTTCCTGTCTGACTCCTCCCCACTCCAAACTGGGGAGGTGTAATGTGGCATGCCGAATGCCCACCCATGCCTTATGTACATATGAGCAACCAGCCCTGCAAAAACTGGGGCAGACTGCATTACAATGGTCGGTTTTGTTGGAAATATCTCAAGGACTTAAGCGTTTCTGAAGTGTAACACTGTACTCGAGGAAGATTACAGGGGAGCACGCGAGTCAACGGAGGTTACACGAGGGGGCGGACAAAGAATGCGAAAGGACTCGAAAGGTCGCAACTGGAGGTTGCGACTGACCGTTACAACATCACGGATGGTAACCGAAGCGGCAATCGAGTCGCTGTGCGACTCGATAAACCGTTCCTGTAACTGTATTCTACAACTGCTTTCTTATCTTCTATATATTGCTGTATGCTTGTTTCTTTAATCAATCACTTGTTCTCACATACTAGTACAAGGGTTCAACTGCCTCAACTTCCGCTGCACTACTCCAAGTCTCAAGTCTCTACAGCTGGGACTTAGTCTCTGCAAAAGATCCTAAGGGCTTTTTCAGCCCAACATGGTATGAGAGCTGGTCAGAGACCAAACTCCCAGCAACTACGTCCTATCAACAACCTGCAACTCAACTCAATTCAACGACTTCATTGATTACAAGACATGGACAACAAGGGCAAGAAAGTCTCTACGGGCTCACCCAGCGCCCAAGAAACTCAACACGGCAACTCTGGTCTGCACACCTCAGGACTGCAGACAGAGACCGGGACTGCTCAAGAAACAACGGGAAGAGTACCAGAGATGGTGACCCCGTCTCCCTCTTCAAGTGTGGACCCGAATCTCATGGAGAGATTCTTCAGCTTCATGTCACACTTCGATCAGCAGCAGCAGACAAGGACACCTGCGCACTCAACACAGAGCAATGGAGGGAATATGGGATTAGCGCCGATGAGCCTCGACAACTCATCCTTCGGGCGACACAATCAAGCGCCTACCTTTGCGCCTTATCATTCTTCGCCGGGGACGTTCGAATTCATGCCGCCCCGTGCCCAGCCAACAGCAGCTGCTTCACAACAAACACCGAATGAAATCTTAAGTTTACAGGCGCAGTTCTCACACGTGATCAAACTTCAGACATCCTCACCGTTCAACGGACACGACTTCTTTACCTGGAGCTTCGAGTTCGAGCTGCTGATGGAGGCCGCGCATCTTCTGGGATACTTCAACGGGTCCCTGCCATTCCCAAGCAACGGCACTGGGAAGGAACAAGAAATCTTCACGTATCAGTCGCTGCTGGCGTATACGGTACTCCTGAGAAACCTGTCACCACAAGAGCAGCAGAGCATCAGAACGTATCGAAGTTATGGAAACTCCGCGGAACTCGCATGGCATCATCTCAAGTGCCTCTATCAAGCAAACGACAGCGTGACACAAAGCAGACTCATGCAACAGCTGACAACAATACAGATGAAGACCGGGGAAAAGGCGATGCAGTATATGAGTCGCTGCCAGACCCTCCGCGACCGCCTGCTTCGGTGCGGAGGAACGATCACTGAAGAAAGCTTCGTGACACTTGTCCTCGCCGGGCTCGGGCCAGAATGGAGAACCACACGATCACTTCTTCGAGCCCACGGAAGAATTTCGGAGATGCACCTCTGCGCCGAGCTTCACGCTGAACAACAGGAGATGGATCTGTTCGAGGAAAGACAACCAAGGAAGCAACAGCAGTTAGTCTTCTACACTCAAAGAAGAAATGACAACAACTACAACCGACGCAGCAAGCAAGATCAACGTGACAACCGAGGACTCACCATCGTGCCGCCGTTCTGCCACAACTGTCAGACTTCCGGGCACTCCAAGGTCAACTGCAACCGCCCTCGCGTTTACCGTGCAGCAGACCCACAAGTCGCTTCCACTCAAGCAAGTCCTCCAAGGCGCTCTTCAACATCTGCACAACAAACACCCAACATCATCAACTGCATGGTACACATCGACAACTGCGCACCCGCTTCACCACCCACTTACGCACCAGACGAAGAGGAATTCCCGCCGCCGCGCTCGCAAGGACTTCAGGTCAACCCGACATACGCTGCAGTCGCTAACGCCGAACCCACCGGGCGGAACACCTGGTTCTTGGACAGTTGCTGCGGTCAGCACATGTGCTCCTCCGGACGCTTCGTACAACACGAGCGACGCCTCAACCGTGACGTCGTCATCACCGTCGCCAACAACGAAAACCTGAAAACAAATAGACAAGGCGTGGTTCAGTTACAATCAATGGAGACAAACGTTATTCTTCAGCTCAACAAGGTCCTCATCGTCGACAATCTGGGATACAACCTATTAAGCGTAAGCCAACTAATGGCTAAGGGGATTCACCTGGAGTGCGACTCCTTCTCCAACGAGTTCCGACTTTACCACGGGAAGGGCGGTCTCTTCATCGGTCGTGCCCTCCTGAAGTCCGGTGTCTTCGTGTTGGACTTCGTCCCCGACCGCGGAACTGCCGACAGCGATGGCATCGTATCGTTCGCCGCCTGGACTCACCCACCAGATCTTGATCCCGACTTCGACAGTGACGGCTTCTGGCACTCCAACACCATACCTGCAGCAGAGAGAACACGGGCATTAGCAGTTATCAGACAAGAAAGACAAGTACCAGCAAGCGTCCCAACAAAACCATCACCTGCAGTATCGGCAGCAGGACCCAGCCGAGTACCACCACCAGCGACACGAGGACAGCCAACCGAAGCAGACCAACTTATGCCCGCCACACGAGAAGCTTGTCGAAGTCCCGCCTCGGTCGTCGCGTTCTTCTCCAACGCCGACATCTACCACCGCTCGCCCGGTCACCGCGCTCCCGACGACATCTGGCACCAACGTCTCGGACATCCTGCAAACAGCACGATACTTCAAACAATCCAAGCAGAAGTGTTAGAACGCAACGCCCTTCTGACGACGAGCGGCCAGGAACTCCGACGACCACGCGCACGGTGTTTCACATGCCCCGAAGCAGATCTTCCTCATCAACCTTTCCCAGCCCATCACAATCCAAGCGCACCCACTTACGCTCCGATGGAAAAGGTCTACAGCGATATTCTAAACATGCCTCGAGACGACACCGAAGCCGACTTCAACTACGTCATCACGATCATCGACGCCGCAACCAGATACGTCTGGCACTTCAATCTCAAAACGCGCGATCAAGCCTTCGAGGCCTTCACCACATGGCTTCCAATCGCCGAACGAGAGTCAGGAACCAAACTCAAGAGTTTCCAGTCAGACGGTGCACTGGAATACCAGTCACAACGCTTCAGGACCTATCTCGCGGAAAGGGGAATCCGACGCCTGGTGTCTCTGCCCTATGCTCACCAGCAGCAGGGGGTAGCAGAACGCATGAACCGGACCTTGCAGACGACGATGCGAAAACTGCTTCTGGGGATGAGGCTGCCCAACGCACTGTGGCCAGACGCGATGACACATGCAGTCCACCTGCACAACCTGTTGTCCTCGTCATCGCTCCCCAACAACGCATCACCACACCTGCTGTGGACGGGAAAAAGGGGCAGCACAAAATTACTTCGAGTTTTCGGCTGCATGGTACAATACAGACCCCACACAGCTCGAGCAGGACGCTTCACTCAACGAGCTCGGTGGGGACTACACCTCGGCATCGCCAAACATTTTCACGCGTGGAAGATTCTCGACATACACGACAAAAATACGGTGGCATCACGTGATGTTATCTTCTACGAGCGACTGACGCTGCAGCATTACCTGGACAACATTGCCAACTCAGACGACCCCACCGACGGCTTCGCGGGCCTTCGCTCCTTCGCTGACCATGCTGCCGAGGCTGACGCAGCAGAAGAAGACGTCCCTGGAGCCTCGGAGGCTGCCGGACCACTCCCCTACTGCTCCGTACCTGTTCCACTCGATGAAGATAATCCCCTCGATAGCAACAACCTCGACACCTTTTACCACTTCGCTGACCAAGGCTACGCTACACCACACCCCGTCGACTCGAATATTTCCGAACGCATCGGGCCAAACTTCTTACCCGATCCTGAAGACGGTGATGAAGCAGCTTATCCCGAGAATGAAAACTCCCCTCGACACACAGCCACGGGACTGCAGATCCTAGGACTATGGGTCTCCGTCCAGCACCCGCCGCCGCCTTCTCCGCGCGAGCCGTCGACCCTGTCGCAGGCTCTGGGGGGGGAACATAAGGCACAATGGAAGGAAGCGATGGAAAAAGAGTTAAAAGCTCTGCAAGACCGAGAAACATGGAAACTGGTACCTGCAACGAGCATCAACGGGAAGAACATTCTCTCGGGGAAATGGGTGTACCGCATCAAGACCAACTCAGACGGCTCCATCGAACGATTCAAAGCTCGATGGGTCGTACGAGGCTTCGATCAACGATACGGAACCGACTACACAGAAGCCTTCGCTCCAGTCTCCCGTCACACCTCTCTGCGCATCCTACTCGCCATCGCGGCCACGAAGAAACTACCACTACGGCAAATCGACGTTGCAAACGCCTTCTTGTACGCACCTGTGGACGCCGAAATCTTCGTCGAACAACCCCACGGATTCATCGACGACCCTTCAAAAGTATGCCAGCTGGAAAAATCCCTTTACGGGATCAAGCAAGCCCCACGGCTCTGGCAGCAGCACCTTCACGGCCGGCTCGTAAAAATCGGATTCCTACAGCTACCACATGACCAAGGCATGTACCGACTACAGAAGGGAAGAGATTACATTCTGCTCATCGTCTACGTCGACGACCTGCTCTACATCGGTTCTACCACCGACATCGTCACCTGGTTCGAAGGGGAGCTGAAAAGGGACCTGAC